TTTTTTTAGACTTTCGTTTTCATCATCGAATACAAACATCAACTAGCATGGGTGGCAAGAAATCAAAAGTTGATCCAACAGTATTGACTTCAAAAGGTTCGTTTATTAGATATTTATGTTTTCTTATCTTTTGTTTTGTTTATTTAGAAATGGCTGTTCTCAAAGCGAATACTAATTTAAATGAGAGGGGTACGTGAAAGTCGTTGTAGTTATAATATTTCTTGATTTCATGTTTTGTTTTTAATCTTATTTAGAAATCTTACAATGGCATGAAGCAAGTTGAATTCGTGATACTTTTTCTCGAAGATGTAAACGTTTTCTTTTGCTTTCTAGGGTTTTATACGTGATTGTCCAAATGGTCGACTTGATAAGAAAAAATTTCTTGAAGTTTATGAACAATTTTGTCCTGGAGGACATGCAAAAAACTATTGCAAGTAAGAAATTATTTTATTGATTATTATGTATGTAATCTTTATTTATTTAGATATGCATTTGATGCATTTGATAAGAATGATGATGGAACAATCGATTTTAGTGAATTTCTTTTAAGTGTTGCAGCTACAAAAGGTGGTAATGTCGATGAAAGACTTTCAGCTGCATTTGATTTGTAAGTATCTGACTTTCTTTAAAAATTTTATCGATGAGATTCCGGTTTCACACAGATACGATATTTCGGATGATGAACAAGTTGACCAGAAGGAATTAGTGAAAATGATTACAGCTATAGTAAATTTTTTTCATCGTATTTTTCATTTTATTTAAGTAGAAGCAATCGTTTTTTAGTATGAACTTAATGGCGTAGCTGATCATGGTGGTCATAATAATCCGAAAACACGTGCTGCTGAGATTATTGCTTCACTTGATGTTAATGGAGACAGAAAATTGAGTAAACAAGAATTTATTGCTGGGTATGTTTAGTGATATGATTTCTACTTTAATTTGTCATGTGTCCTCTTTGATTAGATGCAAGAACGATCCGTATATCCGTCAAATACTTGCTCCTAATGCTTAAACAAGCATCTACAAAAGAACAATAATTTTTATTTTTGAATTTTATTGGTAGAGAAAATATTAAGATGTGTGAGTTGTAAAATAAAAACATTTTATGGAAAACCAGCGAATAGGATTCATTTAAATAAACTATCTCAGTAGAAAACATTTTTTCCTCTTATTAATTGATTCATAAATCGCAGTTGTGGTGATGATGAAAGAGTTTTTCACTAATAAAAGTTGCAAATGATTCATGACATTTGTCACGATCATAAATTTTGACAGAGATATTTAATATATCGTAATTTTTTTTTATATACTGAAATTCAATATTTGTATGGTTTTTCAGTGTAATTCACAGAAGCAGTGAGGTGGAATTCATGTCAACTCGAACTGAAAGTAAAAAATGAAGTTTAACTGCTATAATTGAAATCAATTAGCGTTATTGAGAAAAGTCTAATTATGGCAATTGATGTCAATAAAAGCCATCATAATTTATTGTTCAAACTACAAACTGTACATACGATGAAGAAACAGTGGACCTTAAAGTAAGATCCAAGATCTTTTGTTAACAATTCAATTTTGCAAAATAAAATCACATGTATCTCGAGATAAAGAATTCATCTAGACGTCGTTTTTATGTCGCATACATATAAAATTATTATAAATGCCCTGAAAAATTAGTGCTAGCAACATTTATTTACAGCAATTATCAGTATAAACCTAGCGACATTCACATCCACATTGTTTCATTTCTAGAAGTCTTTATTTGAAGATACAGGTATGGCATTTTTACAATGTATAAGTGTATTGCAGTGTACTGTACATCAAGTGTCACCAATAATGAAATAAATATGGAATAAAAAGCGCTCAAAACAGCTATTGTGAGAAATCTGGCGCCACTTGCTCGTTAGAACTCGTGTATAATAACTACACGACTTTCAGTTAGTTTGAATAGTGGAAGTCGAATATTAAATATTGATACGTGCTTTATTCGAAAAATCCTTGATTATAAAATACAATAAAAGAAAACAAATTTTAGCAGTTCGACAATGGTAAAACAAAAAAGATACAAAATGATATCATTATTATACGGTACTTTCACTACCAGTCTACGATAAACAACATATAGTATTCAGAAAACTTTACATTCTATCAAAATTTGGAAAACTTTTTTTGCTGATCATTTTGGTGAAAAAACATTTTGAGTTTCAATTCGAAATGATGGTTTTGTAGTCAAAAAATAGTACATGTTGTGAACTAACTTAAAAGTCGCTTTTTTTTGATGAAAAATTACAAAATAAGCATAGAGATATTCTGTCGATTAGTAAGAAAAAAAATATAGATAGAATATTGTTCATAGTATCCAATTATATTTTACTATGTTTGTTTCGTGGTTTTTTTATCAGAGACAAAGAGAATTTTAAATTGTTTCACAATATTTACTAGTTTTTGACTAGAAGACCATCATTCCACATTGAAATCCAAAAACTTTTCTTATCAAAATGACCAACGTAAAAAGCTCTACAAAATTTGATATAATATAAAGTTTTCTGAATACTTATTGTTTTTTGTTGTACACTGCTAATGAATGTATCGCAGAACAACAATGCCATTCTGTATCTTTTTTTATCGTTTCTTTGTCTAAGTGCTAAAGTTTTTTTTTTTTATATGATACTTGATAATCAATGATTTTTCGAATGAAATATGTGTAATTATTTAGTACTCAACTTCTACTAATCAATCATCTAATCAATTTAATATTATAGTTGCATAGTTATAATACGTGAGTTAAAACGAAAAAGTAGTACAAGAGTTTTCACGACAACTTGGTATAGTGAAATATTTCTGTGTGATATTCATCAATAACTTGATTATCATTCGAATGAAAATAGCAAAATAAATACATACAAAAACGCACGGTTTTCTTATGGTATTCATGTAAAAGGAAAGGTAACGAAAAACAAATAAAAAAAAGATATTTGTCCTTTTCTCTGTCGTATAATTGATGTTATCTTTAGATTTGAAGCAATGAAAACAAATATTAAGTTTTTTTCTTTTTAATAACTAATTTTCTTAGTTTTGTTCAAAAATTTTCAACATTAAAAAGTAAATTGTATTTGAATTCATTTCTGACACATGAGATGGAAACGAAATGTTTTATTCAATGCTACGATTAGTAAATCTACGTCGATAATTCGTGTGACATTTTCGATGACGCTCTATCCTTCTCATTAGAAGCATTAAAAAAAAAATATTTTTCGAGCTTGTTTTTTGTTTGTATGTTTTATCACTATACATTGATCAATAAATGCTAATTGATATTTATTACCATGTGACACACTATAAAAGGAGACTTGGGTCAGTGTATAATATTTCTTTTCTGAATTTTCAGTTTCAACGTTGAATACAAACATCAGTTAAGATGGGTGGTAAAAAATCAAAAGTTGATCCAACAGTATTGACTGAAAAAGGTTCATTTACTAAATATTTATGTTTTCTCATCTTTTGTTTTGTTTATTTAGAAATGGCTGTTCTCAAAGCAAATACTAATTTAAGTGAGAGTGGTAAGTGAAATTTGCAATAATTATAATATTCCTTGATTTCACGCTTTGTCTTTAATTTTATTTAGAAATATTAGAATTTCATGAAGAAAGTTGAACCAATAGTACTTTTTCTTTAAGATGTAAAAGTTCTTTTTCGTTGTAGGAATTTATACGCGATTGTCCAAATGGTCGACTTGATAAGAAAAAATTTCTTCAACTTTATGAACGGTGTTTTCCTGAAGGAAATGCAAAAAACTATTGCAAGTAAGAAATTATTTCATTCTTAATTATTTATATAATTTATACTTATTTAGATATGCATTTGATGCATTTGATCAAAATGATGATGGAACAATTGATTTTACTGAATTTCTTTTCAGTATCGCAATTACAAGCGGAGGTGACCTCGATACACGACTTACAGCTGCATTTGATTTGTAAGTTTCTATTTTTTTTCTTTTATATTTTATTAAAGACGTGTTTGTTTTATATAGATACGATATTTCGAATGATGAACAAGTCGACCAGAAGGAATTAGTTAAAATGATTACAGCTTTGGTAATTTTTTTTTCATTATATGTTTGCTTGTGTCTTGGTAGGAATAATCTTTTTTTAGTATCAACTTCATGGTAAAGCTATTGATGGTGCTCATGATAATCCGAAAACACGTGCTGCTGAAATTCTTGCTGCACTTGATATCAATAACGACAGAAAACTGAGTAAACATGAATTTATTGCTGGGTATGTTTTTTAATATGTTTTATAATTTGATTTCTCATGTGTTCTTTTTGATTAGATGCAAGAACGATCCGTATATCCGTGCAATACTGGCTCCTGATGCTTAAACAAGCAACTAAAACACTACAATATTTTTTTGCATTTGACAAATAGATAGAATATTAAGCTATATCACCTGTAAAATGAAAACATTTTAGTTAGAGTCAATGAGTAGGATATTTTAAAATAAACGATCTTCGCAGACAACTTTTTTTTCTTATAGATTAATCTATAAATCGCAATTGTAGTGATTGTGAAAAAAATTTTACTAATAAAAGTCAATAAATAATTTAGTTCAATATTTGAATGGTTTCTCAAATTAATTCAGAGAAGCAGTGAAGTGGAGTTCATGGCAATTTGTGCAGGCAATAACAAATGAAGTTTTTCTGCTATTAGTGGAATACATTTTCATCATTTCGAAAAGTCTAGCTATGACCAATCATGTTCAGAAAAACTTTCATAATTTATTATTCAAACGACAAACTATATATACGATGGAACAAAGTAGACTCTTAAGTATGGGCGAAATCATTTGTTACGGATTTTGTGTTGCAAAATGAAATCACACATATCTCGAGATAAAGAATTCATATAGGCTTCATTTTTATGTTCCATACATATGAAATTATTCTAGACATTTTGAAAAACCAGCACTAGAAATCTTGCTTTAGAGCAATTATCAATATAAATCTAGCGACATTCACATCCACACTGTTTTATTTCTAAAAGTATTTATCTGATGGTACAGGTATAGCATTTTTACAGTAAAAAACTATAACATAGTGTGCTGTACACCGAGTATAACCCATAATGAACTAAATATGGAACAAAACGCGCTGAAAACAGTTGTTGTGAGAAATCGAGCGCCACTTGTCTTTTAAATTAGTTTAATTAGATGATTGATTAATAGCACTTGAGTACTAAATATTTACACGTACTTAATTCGAAAAATTCTTTTTTTACATTATATTTGATAATCAAGAATTTTTCGAATTAAGTACGTGTAAATATTTATTACTCGACCTCTACCACACAGCAATGTAATCAAGTTATTTTAAACTTGTATAATTGTAATACATGACGTAAAACAAAAAAGTAGTGCGAAACTTTTCACGACCGTTTGGTATAGTGAAGTATTTCTGTGTGATATTCATTCATAAAAAAAACTGATTATCATTCGAACGAAAATAGCAAAATAAATACATACAAAAATCCCACGATTTTCTTTTGATATTCAATTACAGTAAACGGAAAACGAAAATATTTGTCTTTCTTTTTGCTCTTTTTTTAAGACCTTATTTCCTTAATTTTTCTGAAAATTTATGGACATCAAAAAATATCGCGTATTTGAAGTCATGTTTAAGACATAAGATGCGAAGTAGAATGTTTTAATCAACGAAACGATTAGTAAATCTATGTACATGATTAATGTGACATTTTTAATTATTCTCTGTGTCCTTCTCATTAAAAATATAAAAAAATATTTTCTCGAACCTGGTTTTTTTTATATGCTTTATCACCACACATTTATCAATCAATTATAATTAATGTTTATTACCATGAGATACATTATAAAAACAGACTCGGGACGGTATATGACATTCCTTTTCTTTTGAAGTTTCGTTTTCACCATCGAATACAAACATCAACTAGCATGAGCAACAACAAATCAAAAGTTGATTCAGTAGAATTGACTCCAAAACGTTTGTTTATTAGATAATTGTATTTTTTCATCTTTTGTTTTTTTTTCTCTGTTCAGAAGTAGCAATTCTCAAAGCGAAGACTAATTTAGCTGACAGTGGTAAGTGAAATTTTGTAATAATCATAATATTTCTTCATTCATTTTTTTTTTGTTTTTTATCTTATTTAGAGATATCAAAATGGCATGAAGAAAGTTGAATCCGTAGTACTTTTTCTTGAAGATTTGAATTTTTTTTTCTTTATAGAGTTTTATACATGATTGTCCAAATGGTCAAGTTGATAAGAAAAAATTTGTTGAAGCTTGTGAACGCTTTGCTCCTGGCAAAAATGCAGATAACCTTTGGAAGTAAGAAATTATTTGATTATTAATTATGTTTGTAATCTTTGCTGAATTAGACGTGCATTGGATGCATTTCAAAAGACTAATCATGGAACAATTGTTTTTAAAGAACTTGTTGGAAGCATTGCAACTACAAAAGAAGTTGATATCGATCAACGACTTTCAGGTTTATTTGATATGTAAGTTCCTGTTTTTTTCTTGTTAATTTTTACTCAAAATATTTTTGTTTTATATAGATACGATACTTCGGAAGATGGACAAATCGATCAGAACGAATTAATAGGACTGATTACAGCTCTAGTAATTCTTTTCATGATACTATTGTATTTAATTCAGGAATTAGAAACTATTATATTTTTTTTAGTATAAACTCAGTGGCACAACTGATCAAAGTAGTAATAATAATCCGAAAACACGCGCTGATGAAATTATTGCTACATATGACATTAATAACAACAGAAAATTGAGTAGACAAGAATTTATTACAGCGTATGTTTTGTAACAGTTCATAATTGCATTTGTCATGTGTTCTTTTTCTTTAGATGCAAAAAAGATCCGTATATCCATCAAGTACTTTCTCATCATACTTAAACAAGCAACTACAACAAAACAATAATTTTTTTTTGTATTTTACAAATAGTTAGAATATTAAGGCATATGAATTGTGAAATCAAAACATTTTAGTGAGAGCCAATGAATAGGATATTTTAAAATAAACGATCGTAGTAGACAACCTTTTTTTTCTTCTTATTGATGAATCTCTGAATTGCGATTGTGGTGATGATGAAAAATGTCTTTGACTAGAAAAAGTCAACGAATGATTCACAATATGTATGATGATCGTAAATATTTACAGCGATATTTTATATGTCGTGATTCTTTTTTCTATTTACTGATATTTGATATGTGTATGGTTTCTCAACTTAATGCAGAGAAGCAGTAAAGTGGAGTTCGTGTCAAACTTGACCGAAAATAACAACTGAAGTTTTTTCTATTATTATTGAAATCAATTTTCATTATTTAGAAAAATCTTATTATAATAAACGATGGCAATAAAAACTTTCGTATTTTATTATTCAAACTATAAAGTACAGATACGAGAGAAAAGACAGACTTCAACATATAAGCGAAATCATTCGTTATAGAGGCTTGACGTCACAAAATTAAAATATCTATATCTCGGCATAATGAATAGTCTAAGAATTAATTTGTATATTTTATATGAATGTTAATTTTACTATAGAAGCGCTAATGAAATCAGTACTAGAGACCTTTGTTCAGAAGAATTATTAGTAAAAACACTAGCGACCTCCACTCCTACGAGAAAAGGAAAGCGACTTTTGCTTCATGTATTTTAATTTGAAAAATTCCGGATCGCGAATCAAAACTAAATAGTACATTCTATAGACTGTACCTGAAGCTATGAAATCCATATTTAAAATTTTTTCTGAGCATGCTTAGATTTTTCGAATAAAAGTGGGTTTAGTGTTTTGTTAGCAACGTAACAGAATGCGATGATACAAACGAAAAAATGCTCGTAGAATCGAATGAGAAGTTCAAAAATGATTTGAAACAGTAAAAATTCTTCGTCAGAATCTATAGATGATGATAAAGCAAAAAAAAATTGTTTTGAATCTCTAGAAAATCGACGTTTAAAACGTTGTTTGAAATTCGGTCTTAGTGAAAATGTCACCATAGGTGTGATTCGTGCTGCAGAGTTCATCCTCAATTATTCTAATGTAAATCGATAGATATATGGATGATAGGTAAGACAATCTTTGGTATATATTCAATAAATACTATTATTACAATAAGTATTTTTTTCTATTATGCTGAATTATTTCACTTTCATTCCATGTTGAACAGTTATAATGAATTTCATTAAGATTTTATTATGGGTGCCTGAATAACAAATGCATTTGGAATCGAACTTTTTTTTTTTTTGAGTAAAAAATAATAAAACGTCAGCGGAAAAAACGCAAATTTTTTCAAGATCGGACCGTTTCACCGTTGGTGAAAACTTCAACTGTTTTACTGATTTGTTTTCTTTTTGGTTATTGGTTGGAACATATCATATAAAACAGTAGAAAAGATTTTGCTTCTCTACTGCCTTTCATAAATACATTACAGAACAACCTTTTCTTTTGGCAACATGATCTATTTTTACTAACATTTACTTAACACATTACTCTTTGCTTTGACAAGAAAAAGATTTTGATTGGCTGCATTTGCCTTTATTTGCTATTGTATATAATAGAAACTATTGTGTTCGTTTATTAATGAGATCGCACCTTGAAATCAAAGTCTTTAAAACACAATTCTTAGATTATTTTTTTTTTCTTGGCCTCGGTATTCGAAAGAAAAAGAAAATGTCATTAAACAAAAAATACCGCATATATAGCATATTCTTATCAGAAGCCATGAAAATGGGCGAGGGCTGTAGACCCTTCTAAAATTGACAATTATTCATTATTACTAAGTCAAAGTACCCATCATATTTTGAATTTTTTACTATCTTTATGAGATATTTTCTTATCAACCCCTCCTCCAAACTTGAGACCCTTGCACAATCTCTCCTTATTATTCAGAATATGAATACCAAAAAGAGAGAGAGAACGAAGTAAATATGAAGATTTTTTTTTTTATTTCATGTTATATTAAAAGTAGTAAAAGAAAAAATAAATTCTGTTCTATTTTTTTTTTGCTTTTACTTTCTATGGCATATCCTATTTCTTCTGTTACATATTGACAGATTTTTTTTTTGTTGAGTTCTATCGATGGAGCTGATTCACGATTATACAGACTACTTCAATAGCATACATATTCACTCAAATTTATCGTTTACTTAGTATCTGAATTACTAATTTTTGTCGTTCCTTGCCCCTTTTTTTTAATATATACACATAAAGAAAAAAAAATTCTATAGCTTTTTCTCTTTCTCTTAGTCGTATAAATACCATTAACACAGCTGTCAGTATACCTGATTCGAGCTACATACACTCATCAAGCAAAAGTACATACAACATTTTTTTCAAATCGTTGATAAACTACAGTCATCATGGGTAATAAAGGAGGAAAAAAAAGTGGATCAACACAATTAACACCAAAACGTTTGTATCCTTTTGTTTTTTTTGAGAAATAATTTTTTTGAAAATAATTGTTTTTTTTTTTTTGAAAATTTTAGAAATTGCTATGCTCAAGGCAAATACTAATTATACGGAAAGAGGTAAATAAAGGCAGCTGTTTTTTATATTTCTATTTTGATTTTTTTTTATCTAATTTTTTTTATTACTATTTATAGAAATCCGAGAATGGCATGCGGTTAGTTAAATAGACATAATGTTAATGAAAATATTTTCATTATTTATAGGGCTTTCTTCGTGATTGTCCTAATGGTCGACTTGATAAAAAGAAATTTTGTGAAGTCTACAAACAATTTTATCCTCAGGGCAAAGCAGACAACTTCTGCAAGTAAGATAATATGATTTTTTTTCTTTTGTTTGGTTAAATTTGAACTGTTTTCTTGATGTTTAGACTTGCTTTTGATACATTCGATACAAATGATGATGGAACAATTGACTTCGATGAATTTCTTTTAGCTATTTCGGCTACAAGTCATGGTAATCTCGATGATCGACTTGCAGTTGCATTTGATATGTAAGTTTTGTTTTTCTTTTTGTTATTTATATCATTCTTACATGATTGTCTTGGTAAATAGGTACGATATATCAGATGACGGATTTATTGATCAAAAGGAATTGACTAAGATGATTACAGCTATGGTAAAGTTTTAGCTATATATTTATTTATTTTTTTTTTATAAAAGTAAGTTTTTTTTCAGTATGATCTTGTTGGTGAAACTAATCGTAAAGGTGACAATGATCCGAAAAAACGTGCGATTGAAATTATTGGAAAACTTGATGTTGGTGGTGATAAAAAATTAAATAAACATGAATTTATTGCTGGGTATGTATTACTACATTAGCTATCTTCATTCACATATATATATTATTATTTTTTCTTTATATATTAGGTGTAAAAATGATCCATATATTCGCCGATTACTTGCTCCTAATGCATAAGTGTTCGGTACATTATTTCAACAATTATTCAATTAGACATTTTATATTTTAAACACATCAAATACTAGATTTTATTATAACATCACTAGACAATGAATGAATGAATGAGTTTAATTATCGAAAAATAACTTGTATTCGAATTAAACTTTTTTCAATAAAATAAAGTATACTAAGAACATTGATGATTGTGTTTAAAGAGTTTGCAGTGTTGTAGTTTCACTTCTCCAAGTACTCTTGTAATATTAGCCAATAGAACGATCACTAAATGTTTCTCTTCATATTCAATTTATGTTAAAAGGCTGTTAGCACAACACCTGCAGGAATCAAATGTGAAACACAATGTAACTTCTCTTGTTAATCAAAGGCAGATTGTTTTATTTTATCTATTCTGAGAACATATTTCTTCACTATCTTTTAACTTAATCGTCTAGAAAAGGAATAAGGAAATAGTTCATATATTTTAATGAGATGCTATTTATATATACGACCTATAATCATATATCAACAATGTCTGTCATGAACTGTGATAAAGAACAGACGCTGCTCGAGTTGCTAAGCATGTCTATCACAGGTAAGATTTGGCGTTGTTAGTGCCCTGCAAGAACGATTTTTTCCCGTTCTATTTACCGTTAGAAATCAGAAACGGGAACGATATTTACAAATGAGCATTCCAGAAAATAATTCCTTTTAATATTTATACTCTTCAAACTTTGCTTTTTTTGTCTTACAAACAATGTCAACATCAATTCGATGTCACATTGTTGAAGAATGGATTTTGACATTCTTCCAAAGACTTTTGCTTCTTTTATGAATTAGAAGAAAAATAACAAATATTTATCAACAAAAATTAGACAAGTTCATTCAATATTCATCACTCTTTTATTTTCTTCGTGATTATTATCTTCGAAACGACTATTTTTTAGATTGTCGATGTGCTAGTATTTTTTTTTTCGTTTAATTATTTCATTGATGAAGAAAATGATTCTCTTAACTTAACATTGATAAATTGAACGTATGAATAATAATTGCTTTATTTTAATAAAATAAAATCGTAATAAGAAGTCTGAAAGCATTATAGAAACGAGAATCCAGTAAGAATCGTTCCCATAAAACACTAATTGTTGCTAAAGTGTCTGTAATGTGCTGTTTCTAACCTATCTGTCACCATCTGTCATATTCTGTCAAGGAGAGAAGAAGGTTGCAAATTTACCTAAACATACTTTTCAGATTATATTTAATAAAAAACATATTACATAGCTATACGTAGAATGCTGCTTTATTGAAAAAACTATAACAAAATTTTCAGTGTATAATATCACTTCTGATATCTTTTCACTATTAAAAATCATATTGTTACACGAATATCATAGAAATATTTTGTTGTTTATATTTTAAGCTTTTTACAGCTTGTTTAAAACGTAGAGAAATGTTTCTTAATTAAATGAGGCATTACATTGGAAAAGAAATCATGAAACCATCAAGTACACGAGATGCTCAATAAGAAGAATTTTATTTCTGTTGGTTTCTCATAACCTCTAACAACTTTCTAATATTCTGAAAATCCATCAATACTGTCTGTATTTTAATGAGGACTTATATATTATAAGTAAGACATGCTTAGTAGCTGGCAATAAAGCTTCATTAAATTGTAACAAGTGATGTATAAAGAATGCAATGCTTTTTTTTTCTTGAGAATGACACGTTTATTTCATCTGATACACAATACTTCTCTATATGAAACTATTGATTTTGGTTTTCAAATAAGCCTTTTCTGCTCATGAAAAATTGCAACTATTAATCGATGCTCAGTTGTCTAACTGTGTCAGTTTAACAATGTAATCAGTTAAAACATTTTTTAAATAAGGGCTCTACCAAAATTAGAAGTATATTAGGAGATTCTTCTAAACATTCTCAATCGATTGATGCCCATTGTCAAATTTAAAAGTTCTATAAAATACTTTTCTGGCAATATTTGTTCTTATTTCAGAGCAATCTGCATATGTTCTTCAATCTAAATTTCACATAATCTTTTTGACAATAGAATTCTTTATAAGTTACTATGCAAACAAATCTTTGATAGTGCATATTGTCAATTTCTTTCAATCATAGCAACAGCATGATGCATACAAATGTAAAGTTTTGCTTAGTGATGATCGTTTGTATATAATCAGTGATACAGTGAATCCTCTGTCAACGACACACTGTTCAGTATTTCTATGTTTACATAGATACTTTCAATTTAAAATAGGACTTGGTAACATACAATCTTATACAAATTGATCGATGTTAAGTGCTTCAGCTGTAGAAATTGTTTCCAAAGTTCAAAACTAGTTACAAATTTTTTGTGAAAAATATTTTATCAAATGACTTTGTTAGTGTCTATCGATTTTCAACGTAGTAGAAAAACTTTTAATATGAGAAAATGAGAATATAGTCTCGGACAGATCTTTTTAGAATAATGTTGAATGACTCTTGATCTCGAATTGTTTTCAAAGGAATTATAATCTTTGTGAAGATGTCTGCAATTTGGCATCAAAATGATCAATAATTCATGATGTTTTATTCTATATATGATTCAATTTGTCTGGATATTGAAAATTCAAAGGAGTCTAAATACTTTTCAACATGCCGTCTGATCATTTATTGATCAAGTATATCTTTTAGAAAATTCAATTATAATCTGGTTTTTTTTTGAATGTTAGAAAGTTAAGTTAAAAATTCGCAATATATGATATAACGAAATTTATTAAAAAACAAAAAGTCAACATTACAAAAATATACAATGTAAGTTGTTCAATCTATCATATATATCGTAAGTTCAAAACTCAATTGATTAGTAAAAGCCTGTTTCACAACAAGGTGTATTACTAAATCGATTTTCATATGTTGAATTATTTCCAGATATTATTTTATTTAATGGACGATTTTTCGCTTGAATATAACCAAAAATAAAATAACTGATAACAAGGCCAAGTATAAGAGAAATAAAAATACCACTTTCATATGTCATAACTAATAACATCATCCAATAAGCAAGAACTATTTGAACTCCATAAATCAATGCTAAATATATTTGATGTAATAATAAAGATGAATGTTCTCGGTAACTATCATTTATACGATGACGAATATAAGCTAAAGTTCCATTTAATAAACCCATACAAAAAACTCCAAGAATCATAAATGCATATTTAACATGATTATCAACATTCCAACCTCGAAATAAAAATACAATACATTGATCTTCACCAGTTGCAAATTGAAAACCATTTTGCATAACCATACAATTATCCATTATTAATTTTTGTAAAACGTGATCTTAAAGGAATGTTGAAGTATAGAGATAAATATTTGGTCAGTCGGTTAAATAATAGTGAAATCAGTAAAAAGCTGAAATGGTGAATTCGTGATGAATTAAGCTTGTTACTAAATTGAAAACTCAGTAAATGACATTTAATAATAGCTAAATAAAGTAATGGGTAAATATAAAAACTGAAATGCGTTATAGTGTGATTCCCTTTTTTTTCTTCTGTCCTTTTTTTCGTACTATGCATTATAGTTGCTATATACGGCATAATTTGATGTGCATATTGCTTCTGCTCTTTCCTTTAACTTTAACTTAGTGTCAACCAGTACAATAAATGGATGTGGTAAAAGTTGTTCAATGTGAAAGTCAAATATTAGATGAAGAGATTACGAGAGAAAACGGATCATATGAATAGAAATGAAAGGTCTTGTAAAAGAAAAAAAGATGAAATCAAAATACTCAGTCAAAGAGATTATATATGATAATGCTAATGAATAGGCAAAATATAAAAAATGCAATTATTCAGTTTCTTTTTTGAAGAACTAAATGTGCAAACTCATCATGGGTATGACTATTAGTCTGAAATATTGTGTAAATCATCATCAACATCAACTATAATTACATTAAGTAAGAAAACAAAAAAAAATGATAGACCAGAAAAGATTTCAACTACTTTGTTCATGCAATAATCTAATTTTAATAATGATTTTTCTTCTTTGATCTTTTAAATTTCTATTTAATATTTTCTTTATTTATCTAAATTATATTTTATATTGTATATAATAAACTGATCATGTTAGTCGTAACCTAAAAAGTTGGACCTTTCCTGCCTCAATCTGTAACAGATGTTGTTGTTATACGATCAAGGACTGTGGTATCAATAATTTCTTGCTATAACTTTCTTAAAGCATTTTTGAAACATTTAATGAAAGGACAGACAAGAAATGTATCCTAAAATAGATAGAATAACACAGGAATACTATTGTTCGTATAAGAATTGAAACAGTGATTGAGTGAGTCGCTTTTGTTTTTCGTTTATTTTCTTTGCAGCTGTTGCACATATTTTCTCGTTCTTTCCACCTACTTCTTTTCACCCACATTATTTTGTGAATAAAAAAAATCTTATTTTTATTTTTCTTATTGTTCATGAGCTAAAACATAGAGCAAGAAATTTTTTGATATCCTCTCTGATCATTGTCTTTATCCATCATCATGTATGAATATTTGTTGTTTTTTCAAAGCTAAGCAATTCAATACAATACAATATTAGCAGACTACAAAAGAAGTTCATAACTGAATCAAATAATAATAAACAAAAGAGATTTGCATGATATTGCCCTATAAAATAAGAATAAATGAACAGTGAATCTATCACCTGAAACAATAGGATTACATGTCAGTACGTTGAGATCTCAGGTTAATGAATTACATGCAACTATCAAAAAAGAAAAAAAATTGTGATAAGTTGACGCTAGCGCAACAAAAGTATTCATCAAAATAGGAGTGTGATCATAGTCATTGCTTGATCTTTGATTAGTTTTATTGCATAAATGGATCTTACAACCACTCCTTTGACTCATTTGATCGCATTTCAGGCAGTTATTACTGTGGCACTTATTTGTGGAAAAACTAACATCCGAGCGCGGTTCTTGAAAGTTCTACCCGATGAACGAACGAAGAAACGATCGTCACACGAAAAACAACGAACGATGATTCTCACATTTCTCCTAGTACTTCAATAATGTAACACTCACTAATATTATATGTTCTGCTTGGTTTAGTGCTTGCTATTGTCAGTTATGAAAATGATTATCATGATTTCTAGTCTTCAGCGTTTGTTATAATCATTTCAAAGCAAATTGCAACATTTCTATATACCATTTTCAGTCATAAAAAGAAGATAGTATGAAATCTACATATATAACAAAAGTATTCGATTGCTTGGTCAGCCAGTTTGAAAACGTTGATTGACTGAATTGTCAGCATGAAAAGTCCTTGCTGCAAGTACATATAAATACATTAGCACAGCTACATTTTATTTCATATGAACCTCCATTCAATCGAGGAATTACCTAAAATTGATCTTTTTCAATGTTTTTGTTGTATTATCACTCCTATCGAGAATTCTTCTCTGAAATATTTACGTTGATTAACTTCTATTATATCGATTTTATAAAAACATCGGTATTCATAATATGTTAACGTGCAAGAGAGGTTCCGCAAGTGAGTAATTGTTTTTAAGTTAGAACTATGTACAATATGTAGACTCTTAACGGGTTATAAATAACTTAAAAAGAGACCAGGCCAATAGCTTATTGCTGTCGACATTTTGCAATTTTACGGTATTTTTCAATACAATCCACTCTTCCTCTGACCAAGAACCTTATGAAAACGTGGTCGAAGTTATGGATTTCCTTGAAAAAAACGTGAGTTTATACGTAGCATAAATATCACCTATCGGTCGAATCGAAGATCGACCATCGAAGTCAGTTTCTCTCTGGGCTCTCTTCATTACCAAACCGAAACCCAATTGAGAATGCTTGGACTCTACAGCATATTAAAATCAAATATCTTTGTTTTACTTAAGTTCGATAATAAAAAGAAAGCGAATAGTAAGAATTTTGAAAAAAAAAATAGAAGGAAGGAAAAGTTTCACATAAGAACGTATGCATGATTGAATGAGAGTGGAGATTGAAAATCCATGTTGTACATTTGCAGTTGTTCACTCATCAAGTATATTTTTAACAATAAAATCTTTCACAGAATGTTATTTATCTATTTCAATGTTTCTTTTTTCTATTACTTTATAAGAATAAATATTCGTGTACTGTCTCAAAAATTTACCACAAAAACATGAAAAAGTTTCAACAAACTATTTTAGATAAAAACTAATATTATTCGCTTTTTCAAAATAAAACTTTCATCGCGTTCTTTTGTTGTTTTCGAATGTTAAAAAATTAAATTAAAAATTCGCAATTTATTTATTCAATGAGATTTATCAAGTCAACATTACAATTATATGCAATGTAACTGGTTCAATCTATCATATATATCGTAAGTTCAAAAGTAAAATCATTATTAAAAGCCTGTTTGGCAGCAAGGTGTATTATTAAATTGATTTTCATATGTTGAATTAGTTTCGGATAATATTTTACTATTTAATGAACGATTTTTCGCTTGAATATAACCAAAAATAAAATAACCAATAACAAGGCCAAGTATAAGAGAAATAAAAATACCACTTTCATATGTCATAACTAATAACATCATCCAATAAGCAAGAACTATTTGAACGCCATAAATCAATGTTAAATATATTTGATGTAATAATAAAGATGAATATCCTGGATAACTATCATTTATACGATGACGAATATAAGCTAAAGTTCCATTTAATAAACCCATACAAAAAACTCCAAGAATCATAAATGCATATTTAACATGATTATCAACATTCCAACCTCGAAATAAAAATACAATACATCGATCTTCACCAATTGCAAATTGAAAACCATTTTGCATAACCATACAATTATCCATTATTATTTTTTGTAAAACGTGATCTTAAAGGAGTGTTGAAGTATAGAGATAAATAACTGGTCAGTCAGTAAAATAATAGTGAAATCAGTAAATAACTAAAGCGATGAATTAAGCTCGTTAATAAATCTAAAGATCAATAAATAAAGTATACTAGCCGCGAAATAAAGCAAAACTGAAATACGTTATGGTGTGATGCGTTTTTTTTGGTTTTGTCCCTTTTTTCGTAATATGCATTCTTATTGCTGTATACGACAAAATCATATATGCACATTGGTTTTATCCTTTCCTTCATTTTCAGCTTAGTGTTAACGAGAAAACGAAAAATGGTCTAATGAAAAGTGCACGTTGATAATTGGTCGATGCGAATAATAGTCGAGAAACTAATAATAGAAACATAAAAACGTTTTTTTTTAAAAGCTAAAAAAATCAGACGAACAACCTAGATCAAGAGAAATAAAGATGGAAAATGTTATTAGGAAAATTGTCAATCACTGCAAAGGAGCATATATTTCTTTGAAGAATGCAGCTCATGTACTTACTAAAACTTCTTTTTAAATCTAAAATTTTAAAATCGACAGACTTATGTGAAGTTATATCGAAACAAATTCAGATAGAAAATTAGAACTAAGAAGAAGCATTTGAGGACATGATGTGTGAGTATGGAGTGTGTGTAGGGTATGAGAGAGTAAGAACACTCAATCCAAATCCACACCCTCTTAGATTAGTCTTAACAAGTACAATAGATGAGCATCGTACAAGTTGTTCAACATGAAAGTAAGATATTAAATGAAGAGATTATGAAAGAAAAATGATTATGTAAAATGGAAATGAAA